GACACTTGGCAGTTGCGCGTCAGAGTTAGTGAGTGGGTTTTTAATGGTCTGAGCAGGGTTTTAGTGCATTAATTTTGATTTGACAGGTGGTTTACAGTGTTAAATTTCCAAGGTGTTACAATAAGTAATTTTAGGGACAATTTTAATAACTTTAGTTGAGATAATAATTTTACGAAAACTTATTATCATTTTACTTTAAATTCAAAACAATGTGAATTACTAGTTAACATCAGAAAAATTCTCATGTCAAATTATATCGTAATACGTGTTAGAGTTACTGACATATATCATTTTATATTTAATTTAATATCTTCGCTATTTGTTTAATTTTATCCATATCTTTTTAAAATAAAATAATTTTATTTTAAATTAAAATTAGATTTATTTTTTATTTAAATATTTTATTAATATTTTTATTAAAATTCAATTTTTTTAAATACTTTTTGTTTAAAGATACAATTAGTTTAAAATTAGAATAAAAGTTTTAAGAATAAAGACTAATTAACACCAATTATTTATAGTATGAAGAGATTAAAAATCACGTAAAGTAATGATTTTATGGTGTTACTCTTTACTTATTAACCTCTTAAAATTTTAAACAAATATTATTACTCACCACTTTTAAAATTTTTGTTCTAACTCTAACAAAATTCTAACTCTAAATTAAATATATTTAATAAAAAATATAATTAATTTCCAAATTAGTTTCTAATGTTAGTGATAAAGATTTTGGTTACCAAAAAGTTTATAAGGATATTGATCCTAATCATTATTATATATATTGTTATTAGAATAATATTTTTCTTATTGAACAATCCTAATGCAACAAATCCCAAAAGTGAAATCATAATATAATATCAAGATATTGATTCTAATTATCATGAATATTACTTCTAACTATTAAAATAATATTTTTCTTTAAAACTAAATATTTCAAAATACTTTCTGGTGATATGTCTTATGATTGGTGTAAAAAGTTAAGAGTGAAATAAGAATATGTATAAAATCCTTGAATCGTTTGTCCATGAAAGGAAAGTGATAATTAAAAACAAACTGAGTTATCCCTTCTCTTTTTAAAAAAAATATTTTATTATTATTTTTGTTATTATTTTATTTTATTATATTTTAATTTTTTATTCTTTTTGTGTTAAAATTAAAATTTGAAAATATAAAGAAAATTTATTTTACTTTTTTTTATCTTTTCTTTTACCTACCATTAATTACAAACATATATTTTATTTTTTGAAAACAAATTTATTTATTTGTACGAAATTAGGTGTTGGCAAGAAACGTGTAGAGAGAGACATTGTGAGAATTGCATAGCATGCAAAAAGGCCAGGTCTAAGGCCTAAGTCCATGGTCTAAGACCTAAGCCAATAGTCTTTATACTCGCTTATCCATTCCTTCTTTGTCTTGGATAGACATCTCTATGGATTTCATATTAGGGCTTCCAAGGACAAAGAAAGGCAAAGATTCTATCTTTGTGGTTGTGGATAGGTTTTTAAAGATGACCCATATTATCCCACACCACAAAGTGGAAGATGTAAGATTGATTGCAAATCTCTTTTTTAAGGAAGTAGTGTGACTTCATGGCATCCTTATAACTAGAATACAAAGTTCTTAAGCCATTTTTGGTGGACATTGTGAGGAAAGCTTGGAACTAAACTTCTCTTTTCTACCACTTGTCACCACCAAACCGATAGCCAAACCAAGATGGTTGATAGGACTTTGGGTCAAATGTTTAGGTGCATGATAGTCCAAAATCCAAGGGAGTGGGAAGATCTTCTTCCTCATATAGAGTTTGTATACAATAGGGTGGTGCATTCCACTACTTCCCACTCTCCCTTTGAGGTTGTCTATGGGTTTAATCCCATAACACCTCTAGATCTCCTTCCTCTTCCCACTCATGAGGCATTGACTTACCAAGATGGAAAACAATGTACTAAGAAGATTCAAGACTTGCATGCTCAAGTCAATGATAACATAGAAATGAAGGTACAACAATACCAAAGGTTTATTAATAAAGGTAGGAAAGAAATAACTTTAAAGAGGATGATTGGGTTTGGCTCCACTTGAGAAAGGAGAGGTTCCTTACTTAAAGGAAGTCCAAGCTCCACCATAGAAGGATGACCCTTTCCAAGTAGTTAGCAAAATAAACAATACTGCTTATAAGTTATATTTACCCCCTAACTATAACATGAGTCACACTTTTAACGTGGGTGATCTTTCTCCTTCTATTGTAGGGTTTAAGAATTCAAGGTTGAATTCTCTCTAAGAAGGGGAGGATGATGAGTCCATGACTCATCATGACTAGAAGGGAGACATCTAACTTTACTTCTTTGCCTTTATTTTCCATTTCTTTATGTTGACTTTCCCTACGTTGACTTTTGCTTACTTGACTTTGGTTGACTTATTAACCATAGTTTACTTGATTTAAGTTGACATGTTGAATTTTTTTCTTGTTTGTTTTATAGGTTAAACGTATGCTAAATTGGAGGAAAATAACACTACTTGGAATGGATGAAAGCCTTAATCTTGGAACTACTCATGCTAAGCATGTATTTGGAGAGAGGAGAAGCTTGGAATTGACCTTCATTCTAGAAGATCAAAGGCCACCTAGGAGAGGCTTGGAGACTAAGGTATGGTTCTCTCCTTTTCAATACACATCCTTTAGACGTAGTTTTTAGAAGCTTAGTTTGTCTTTTTGTATGAACACATATAAACTTTGTATTTTTGCTAAGACACCCTTCACCCTCACCTATTTAAGGGACTCTTCAAGACTCTTGAAAGGAGTTGAATATTTTGAGTAAAATTACTATATTTGACCATTTGCGAGAGAGCTATCCTTTGTGAGTGTCTTCCTTAAGCCTTATCTAAGATCATCACTCAAGTGGCGGCATCCCCACTTATCTTGGGTTGGTGAGCCTTAATGTCTTCTTAAGTGGCGTTCAACCTTCAGCTTCCCCGTCCCCTTTCATGTCTTCCATCTTTTACTTCATTTTGGTTGTTTGTTCATCATGTTTATGTGCACCTATGCAACTTGTGTTATTTTGTTTGTGATTCTCTTTAATTGAAATTCTTCTCTTCTCTTGAGCCTTGGAAGTGCATCTTCACATCTAGATAACATTGTTATCTTAATGTTTAGTGCAAATCTTCCTTATACTTTCTTAATCACCATAACATCATATTCTCTAAAATGAAAAATGGGTATTTATCAACAGACGATGATTTCATCTAAACCATAACCTTTATCCTTCCAAGATTTACAAAAATGTCATAGTATTTTTATAGGTTATATTTTTCTTAAAACTGTAGTCTATATGACATAATTAAATATGATATTTAAACTTATGATAAATCATATAACTTAAGTTATGTTATCATTACATCCATCTCCTTCATTTTGAAAGATTGTTTTGGTTCAACAAAATGACATAAGTCTAACAACTTAAAAAAAAAATCTTACCACATAAAAAGTATTTTCAAGGTATTATAACAACTTGTCTTTATAAGAATAATTAATGTTTATTATGAAACTAAATATTTATTATGAAACTAAGTAAAATTCTTTTAAAATAATATGAGAAATGTGACAAATAGATAATGATAATCACCACCACTTAAAAAATGAGACACAAGTAACAATGTTAGTGGAACTAAAAAGGAGTTAAAAAAACTTAAAAGGAAAAATCATACAAAAGATTAATGTAGAAAAAAAAATGATTGTAATGAAACTTTGTGAATATTAACAATATTAGAATAATTAATGAAAAAAAAATACTTTGTAAATATTATTCTATAAACCCATAATTGAATTTAAATAAAAATTGTATGAAATTTATTCGATTTCGGAATATACATCACTTCTATATGAATTTGAAGAAAATATTAATAACTAGTGGTTAAAATAAATTTAGAACTTATTTACGTAATATTAAGAAATAAATATTTCTCCAAATTTTAAGAGTAGAAAAAATATAACATTATTCAATTTAAATCATACAGGCCAAAGATAAATTGGAAATTTCATAAGTTAAGAGTAAATTGTATGTTTCAAAACAATATACGCGAGAGAAAAATTGAAAATTTCATAAAGCAACATCACTCGATATCGTTTGATCACCAAGAGGATTTCGTAAGAAATAACAACATCAGGAAATCTCTTAAATAGTGTGTCAAATTATTTTACTCCAACAACTTCTATGAAAGTGTCAAAAGATATTTAATCATGATCTGATAACTTATGTTAAATCTCAAATGTTTCTTCAAGTAGAAACTTGCATTACATGTTGCATATGAAAACATCTAATGCAACCATTAAATCTACAACAACAAACACTCACAATGGTTAAATAAGGATTTGCGTTATATTTTCAAGCTTTCAATAAATAGGAAAAGAAATGATATTTCTAAATGTATGTTTTTAAATATAAAAAAAATTAAAATAGATTCTAAAACTTTTATACACATTAATAATATGTGTAAATTGATATAATTTCATTTAGATAAAATATTTTATTTAAAATATTATAATATTTTCCTGGTAATGTCTTATATTTAGTAAATAATGATTGTCCTGTGTAATAATTAATAAATTAATTTAATTATTACATGATCAAATTCGTATGCCATTTTTTTGTTACATACAATTTTAAGGTCATTTATAAAAAATGTCACTTTTAACTTTAATTGAATAAAAAAAATCAATGCGTAAAACAACAATATTATATCATTTATCTATATTGTTTATTTGTTTAAAAAAAATAACAACAATATAAAGAAATAATTCAAACTTAACATTGAATCTTAAAACTAATATTTAACGTTAAATCTTAAAACATTAGCATTAAACCATAGTGCAAAACAAAGGAAGAAAATATGAAAAATAAAATTGCGAAAAATGATATAAGACTTAATTAAAATTAAAAAGAAAAAGTAATTTTTAATATGCAAAGACTATGGCATCTTTCATTCACTTTTATTTCTCAGTTGGGTTAGTTTTAATGTTGAAGCGAAAGGAGACTAAGCAAGACCAAGTAAATGTCTTTGCATGTCTCAAAACAATTTAGTTCCATGCGTCTTTCTAATCACTATTGCGAGTTGCTCAAACATTGCGGTGACACAAAGAAGGTTCATTGCAACATAATCAAGGCCTTACGAAATCCAGAAATCTTTCTGCTAAACAACTTAGTCAATGCCTATGCTAAGAATGGAAGCATCATTTATGCCCGCAGGGTGTTCGATCAAATGCCTCTACGGAATCTATACTCTTGGAACACACTTCTCTCCTCCTATTCAAAACTGGGTCGTCTTCCTGAGATGAAACGCGTGTTTGATGCAATGCCAACGCGAGATATGGTATCGTGGAATTCCCTTATTTCCGGCTATGCTGGTCGTGGTTTCCTTGTTCAATCGGTGAAGGCTTATGATATGATGTTATATGATGGGCCATTTAATTTGACACGGATTGCGTTATCCACTATGCTCATACTTGCCTCCAATCAGGATAATGTTCGTTTGGGTAGGCAGATTCATGGGCATGTGGTGAAATTTGGTTTCCAGTCGTATGTTTTTGTTGGGAGTCCTTTGGTGGATATGTACTCCAAAACGGGGCTTATATTTTGTGCAAGACGGGTTTTTGATGAGATGCCCCAGAAGAATGTGGTTATGTATAATACACTGATTGCAGGGCTTATGCGATGCGGTAGAATTGAGGATTCAAGGCAGTTGTTTTATGAAATGCGGGAAAAGGATTCTATTTCCTGGACAGCAATGATTGCGGGATTTACTCAGAATGGCTTTGAAATAGAAGCTATTGATTTATTGAGAGAGATGAGATTAGAAAATCTTGAGATGGATCAGTACACTTTTGGGAGCGTGTTAACTGCTTGTGGTGGTGTTGCGGCTTTCCAAGAAGGCAAGCAAGTTCATGCTTACATAATTAGGACGGATTACCAGGATAATTTATTTGTTGGTAGCGCTCTAGTTGACATGTATTGTAAGTGTAAGAGTATAAAATCAGCAGAATCAGTTTTTAGGAAGATGACTTGCAAGAATGTTGTATCTTGGACTGCCATGCTGGTGGGTTATGGGCAGAATGGTTATTGTGAAGAAGCTGTTAAAATATTTTGTGATATGCAAAAATATGGGATTGAACCAGATGATTTCACCCTTGGGAGTGTAATTAGCTCTTGTGCAAACCTTGCCAGCCTAGAAGAGGGCGCTCAGTTTCATGGCAAAGCTTTGGTTTCTGGCTTAATTTCTTTTATCACTGTTTCCAATGCTCTAGTTACATTATATGGTAAATGTGGAAGCATTGAAGACTCTCATAGACTTTTTAGCGAAATGATCTTCCTGGACGAAGTCTCATGGACGGCACTTGTTTCTGGATACTCGCAATTTGGTAAAGCCAATGAAACGATAAGGTTGTTTGAAAGCATGTTAGCCCATGGTTTCAAACCCGACAAAGTTACTTTTATTGGGGTTCTTTCAGCTTGCAGCAGAGCAGGACTAGTAGAGAAAGGAAATCAGATATTTGAGTCAATGATTAAAGAACATAGGATTATACCAATACACGATCATTACACATGCATGATTGACCTCTTCAGTCGAGCTGGGAGGTTAGAAGAGGCAAGGAATTTTATAAATAAGATGCCTTTCAGCCCTGACGCAATTGGTTGGGCATCCCTGTTAAGTGCATGTAGATTCTATAGAAACATGGAAATCGGTAAGTGGGCAGCTGAATCTCTAATAAAGTTAGAACCGCAAAACACTGCTAGTTACATCTTACTTTCGAGCATCTATGCTGCTAAAGGAAAATGGGAAGAAGTTTCCATATTAAGAAAGGGAATGAGAGATAAGGGTCTGAGAAAAGAACCAGGATGTAGCTGGATTAAATATAAAAACCAAGTACACATTTTTTCGGCTGATGATCGGTCAAACCCTTTTTCTGATCAGATATATTCTGAGCTTGAAAAATTGAACTATAAAATGGTACAAGAGGGATATGTGCCTGATATGAATTCTGTTTTGCATGATGTTGAGGATTCAGAGAAAATAAAGATGCTTAATCACCATAGTGAAAAGCTTGCAATTGCTTTTGGATTAATATTTATTCCTCCTGGTTTGCCCATACGAGTAGTTAAAAATTTAAGGGTTTGTGGGGATTGCCACAATGCAACTAAGTATATATCTAAGATCACTCAGAGGGAAATTCTTGTTAGAGATGCTGCCCGATTCCACTTGTTTAAAGATGGAACGTGTTCATGCGGAGACTTTTGGTGACAGGCCCAGTTGTTATATTCTCTGAAATATAAAGTACTGTCAAAAGTGACTACTAATTACAGGATTCTTCAGTATGAAGATACCTATGATACCTCTTTCTTCAAAAGGTGAGTATCATTACCGTGTGTGCAATGCAGTTGTGTATTGAGTATACTGTAATTTTATATGGACTTGAACAAAATTACAGAATATGGTGACTGTTCCTGACTTGCTATCATCATCTTTTGTCTTAATTTGAGAGAGGAGACATTCTTATAGGCTGATTAATTTTTTACAACGTTTTGACGTATATTGACATAGGCACGTCTTCCATCATAGCTGTTGAAAATTTTCACTAACCCTGTAAATCAGTGTTATGTGGGCAGTATTTGTGGGACAGTTTTGTCAATTTAAACAGGATTTTTTATCTGTACACCCGAACCGAGACAGCTCCTTTTATTTGGTTATAATGGTGGCAACAAGGTTAGAAGCTATGTGTAACAAATACAGTTAGTGGAGGAGCAGGTAATGGAAATGTTTCTTCGGAGCGGGTAATACTGAATAAAGAGATTTTCTCATTCGCTGAATCGGATTTTTTTCATCCGCTCCATTCATTCATTTGGATTCCACAAATTATACACATTACACTATGATCTCATGCATACTGCACAAGTCCTTCAACCTGCCCAATCCTAGAAACTTACAATGCTATCATATCATTTCCTAAGCTTTTCGGATCAAATTTCTGTTGAATCTTTAGCCTCTTAAAGGAGTGGATACCTATTTCTTGCTTCAGCTTTCAGAGTATTTAAAATTTTAGATTCTAGACTAGTTTGTAAAAATGATGTGAAATCTGACGTCTGTATTACTCACAATTGTTCATCATGAATGAACTGAGAGAGACTTTGATAGAGTCAAGTGTTTGTTTTATGTTATTGTCATTATTTACGTTATGAATCATTAATTTATCTTTTTCTTCTGTCAGTAATTCAATTCAATACACTCTTAATCATAATGAATTATTCTCTCATTTTTACCTAGTGGATGAAGGCATTCAGTCACTGCAAATTGAAAGCTAAATTTTATGTTATGTCTCTTGTTTTAGTTGATGTTGTTGGTTATAAGAGTCAAATGGATGATTCATTCTATTATGCTTATCTTGGAAGAGTAAGGCTTCTCAAAGAGGTTCATCACTTTTTGCATCTCCTAAGTCTTCTATTCATTTTTTTCCTTTAAATTATTGTTTTGTTCTTATTTTGTCATTTTTCTATTATGTCTTTGATTTTAGTTCAAATTATATTATCATATTTTTGCCCATTTATTGTAATTTTGAAGTTCAATTTTCCATCTCTTATATGTTCTTATTTTTAAATTCTCACTCTACATTGTTTCTACTTTTCTCTGAACTTATAATTGGAGTCATTGGCTCAAGTTTCTCATAAATTTTTCATGATTTGAGGAAATTCAATTCTTTATCATTTTTTTGTGTGTTTCATGCGTTAAGTACTTCATATATGACTTTTGTCATTTGGCATCTAAAACAATGTCAAAGTCCATAAAAATTATGAAATATTGAATTGAACTTTGTTTAATTAATTCAGAAATTTGTTACAAACTTTGCATTCCATTACAAGTTAAATTGCTAATTTTGTTTATATATTCATGTTCATAGCTAAATTTTTATTTTTATTGCTAGTTGTGTTTTTCCGCTGTTAGCCTATTGTTAATCTAATTTTTAGTTTTTATTCATTAATTCTAGGTTAGCTTGATCAATGAATAATGTTGCAGTTTAGACCTTTGATTTATGATGAAATATTATATAACACGATGTTCTTATTTGATTTAGGTTTTTGCCTCAAGTGTGTCTATCTATTTTAATTTTTAGTCATGTGATCATCTATTACCTTTTGTAATTTTCAGTTGCCTAATTACTTGAATATATATTGTAAAGGAAGATGGTAATTTTTCTATCACATATTGAAGGAGTTGCTTTCAACATAAGTCTTAGTTAATTCTTGGTTTGATTTTATTTGTAGCTTCAATTGATTAATTGACATTAAATATAGAGATTAAATTTTCATATTATGTGTTGAATCATATATTCATGTCGTGCTTAAATTTATATCTTAAAATCAAAGTAGAAAAACAATTAAAGTCAAATTGTCGAGAGCTACTATGTGTATTTGCAAAAGAAAAATTGAAAAACATTCAAAAGAAGAATAGTTAGAAATAATGGTTTTAAACTTAGATGCAATATGAATTGCTGATATTTTTTATATGACATTAACACTAACTTTGAATGAAGTCTTAATTTTTGCATTGTTTAAGTGATTTCTAGTCGTAATTCTATTTCCATCTATACATTAGTCTCTTGTCAGTGTAAATTTTTTTTTCTTTATCTAAATATATATACAATTTTAGTATATGTACAAGGAAAGAATGAATCAAACATGGAAGGTGCGACACTAGATGGCTATAGATACAATCACGTTTCCATTGTACAAAACACTGAGTATTATGAGAATTAGAAAAAATCTTTAGAGTTTGCTCGTGAGAAAAAATCAATTTTATATGGAGTCTTGTCATGGTTTCTAAGTGCAATTTTATACTTCTTGTGAACTTGTAATTGGAATCATTGTCTTAAGTTTGTCATAAATTTTTCACATGCACGTATGTATAACTAGTTATATCTTGGAATCTTAGTTTTTTTTAGCGGAGAAGTGCTTCCTTATACAAGCATCCAAAAGAGATCATTATAGGTTGTATGCTTTAGAGCATACTGGGTCAAAGATTTTTTAGAGGTTCATGACTTCATGCTGATATTTGTGTTTTGTGGTACTATGAGGTGATTAGATGACACTCTATCTATGTGATGTCAATGTATCACTAGCAATACCAAACAGAGCGAGCTTTCACAAATTGAAGATTGGTACTTTGTGACATAATTTTTATGAAAGTCGTTGAGTCAACTTGTTAACTATAGATGATAGGACATCTCAAGGATGTGAACACTTTTAAACACCTTCATCAAACATCTATTCTATATGACTTAGCCAATGTTGAAAAGGAAACATATTAGAGAACATAATTAATAACACAATCCTCTAAACTTAAAATATTTCTAATAATGATATATGATATTAAATGTTTAGATTGAATGTTATTGATATATAATTAGATTGGTTTGACTAAATGCGTTTAATTAAATCTTAGATTGAATTTCGGCTAATACAATTGTTTCGCTTAAATTTAATAAATAATTTTAGTTTAAATTGAATACACTCTATTTATTCTATCTAGGTATTTCGTTTGATTTGCTTCTGTGATTCATTAGTTAATTAACCCAGCTTATGTACTTTTACAATTCTATAGTTAGAAAAGAAATAAATTACTTTTTATTTATTAATTAATTAAAGAACAAATAGAGTTTTTCTTTTCTTTTCTTCTTTCTTTATCCTTTCCTTTTGTTTTTTTTTTTCCATTTACGTTTATACCAAAAATGGGAAGCTAAGATAATACTGAGTAGAATGAAGGTATCCGTAGGCATCAACGTGGTCTTGGTTGGCACTTTCTTACATCACATTTCACAAACTTATCGGATTGTGCAATATTATATACATTGTGATTGTGATGTGAGTGTGACGCTAGAGCCACAGGAAGAGAAAGAAAAAGATACAGAAGACTGAATAGCAGTAGTTAGCAATAACAGAATGAGCCACCGCAAGGAGGAATCACCGTCGCCGTTGCCTCTGCTTCGAAGCAGCGAAAGAGATGACGGCTCGTGGTCCGGGTCAGGGTCAGGGTCAAAGGCATCGCTTAGTGGTTCTGTGTTCAATTTATCTACAACGATCATCGGTGCTGGGATCATGGCCTTGCCGGCGGCCATGAAAGTTGTGGGTGTGAGTGTGGGCGTTGGTGCCATCATCTTCCTGGCCTTCCTCACGCACACCTCTCTCGAGATTCTTCTCAGATTCAGTAGAGCCGCCAAGGCCGCCACCTACGCCCACCTCATGGGGGATGCTTTTGGGAGCTCCGGAACCCTGCTCTTTCACGTGGCGGTGCTTCTCAACAACTTTGGGATACTTGTTGTTTACGTCATCATAATTGGTGATGTCTTGTCTGGAACATCTTCCAGTGGAGTCCATCATTTCGGGGTGCTTGAAGGCTGGTTCGGCCAGTGCTTCTGGACAACCCGTACTTTCGTTCTGCTTCTCGCAACTCTCTTCGTATTTGCTCCATTGGCCTTCTTTAAGAGGATAGGTAACTGACCACAATACACACTGCACATGTTTGAGAATGATTATTTCTGTAATTACTTCCAACAGAAAAAATAAAATAAGTGATGAATTTGATTGTATACAGTTCAATTTTGTAGTTGGGGTATTAATGATTAAATATGCTTCATTAGTGATTAATCGAGTCGTGAAGGGAGCATTGTGGGTGGATATTTTCAGTGGGGTATTGATGATTATACTTTGGTATGTGGACTGTTTTGTGCCTGCAGATTCGTTGAGACATAGTTCTGCTTTAGCAGTGGCTCTGGCCATTGTGTTTCTACTCATAACTGCGGGAATCACGTTCTTCAAATTGTTTAATGGCAGCATAGCCAGTCCCAGGATGCTTCCTAACATTACTGATGTTTCATCCATATGGAATCTCTTTACTGCCGTTCCAGTTCTTGTGACGGCATTTGTTTGTCACTACAATGGTAAGCTGCCATATTGTTTAAAATTTCATTTTCTGATGTTTTGGATGATAATTTTATTAATTCTCCCCACTTCAATGAAAGTAGAGAGATTAACTAATGACTCAAATACTGTTATGTTAATACAAGTACATATTTTTATGCCAAATCAGTGAAATAAAAAATTTTCGTCAATCCATGAGTCATGGGAACTTATCTGAAGCAGTGCATTCTGTTTATTGTCTTGACTCTTGACTTGGTGTAATACGTGTCTCTTTGCTTTGGAGGAGATTGGTTCCAAAAGAAATAAAAGTTGAGAAATGAAAAGAACAACATTTTACCCCTCTGTAAGGAAAGAAAGATTCAATTCACTAAAATATGTTAATGGCAAAGGCAATGATAGTTCCTTTCACTCACTTCTTTGTATTGTCACAATCACAAATCTTCCTTTTCAACGGGTTTCTATTTATTCTGCATGATCATTCATGCTTGTTGCAATAATCATATTTCTTTAAAATTGGAATAAGATGACAGTTTGTCAATATTTATCATTCAAATATAAATGCTCTGTGATATTGATCCTATACCGACTTTTGGCACAATGTCAGATATTAGGGCTGAACAGGGCCTGAATCAATTGTGGGATCCAAGCTTAAAGAAACATATGATCTGTAGGGTTTATAGAATAAATTGGCCTGTGGGAAAGAGGGAGTTAGTTACAATCCTGGCTTGCCAGTTTACCAAATTAAGAGTTTATGGCTAGGGACAGAGCGATGTGAGGGTCAAGGTGGTGTGTAATAAATTTTTTAGACAGGGAAATCATTCCGAAGGAGCTGGAGGCTCTAGTGTGAGTCTTACATTTCTTGTGTTCTATCAGCTATCACGGTTTTGTATTTATGATTTCTGTTATGCTCAGATATTTAATACAACAAAGAAGCAGTGTTAAGTACTGGCAGACTATTTTTGAGCAAAGTTCTGTCCTGTTCATGCAGTGCATACAATCGAAAATGAATTAGGAGACCCTTCCTTGATGCAACCGGTTATACGTGCATCACTGGTTCTGTGTTCTAGTATTTATATTCTTACAGCATTATTTGGAGTTCTCCTATTTGGTGAGTCAACACTTGATGATGTGCTGGCCAACTTTGATACTGATCTGGGTATCCCTTATAGCAGTCTACTCAATGACATTGTTCGTATCAGC